GCGTGTCGTCATGCCGCCCCGACAATATACGTTTACAAACATCCATGCCTTCTCCGGGATTCGAACCCGGGACCTTCAGCACGGCAGTCAAAGACGCTAACCACTATACCGGTTGGGCGACGAATTTCTGTTATATGAAGAAAATATTTTCATATTATTTTGATAAGGATCATTACTCATGGATACAATACAACGCTCTCTATTGATGACATTTAGATTACGTTACTCTCTTAAGAAGAGCAAAAGTTTCCCTCCTTGAGGTACATTCCTCAGATCATTTTTTATTGTACCCATTTATTGGATATTTACAAATTTTTCAACTCGTTAATTTCAGGTTACATTTAATACATCAACGCCTGAGATCCCGAAGATTCCAAAATATCCAAGATAAAGGAAACTTCTATTTTAGAAATGCCTAATGACTTCGAATATATCTCACATGTCATAGGTTATTTAAACAGATACGTAGTAATGTTCTCATTTTCATTCACTGTTATAAAGGAGTGAATTCACATAAGAACGTCATAATTTACCTTTAGTTCAGACAGAGAAGGAGTTGTCTTAATCTTCTGCAGTTCTGACAGAATATTCACTGTAAACATAGGTCCCAAAGAGAGAGAGAAGGATTTGTCATACAGTTGCTTGCGAAAAAGAGAATGAGTTGGCTGAATTGCCTGCTGTTACACTCATCCTTCGACGTAGAATATCGACGAAGACATAGGACCAGACAGACAGAGAAAGACTTGACAATTGCTCTTCAGATAGAGAATGAGTTGCTTGAATCTTCTTCAGGTGCAATCATCCTTCCTGGCAGAATATTGACTGAAGACATAGGAGCCAGACAGACAGAGAGGGACTTGACAGATAGTTATTCGCAAGACAGAGAATGAGTTGTCCGAGTAGCTTGCGCTTACGCACATCTTTACTTATTGACTAACGACTTGGTTACCAGACATACAAGGATATGCCAGACAGAATATTGACTAAGGCATAGGACCCAGATAGACAGAGAAAGACTTGTGAGACTCTCGTCAGAGAGAGAATGAGTTTTATGAATCTTCTGTAGTTACATTCATCCTTTCTGATAGAATATTGACCGAAGACAATTCCAGACACACAATGAAAGACTTTCCATACAGTTCCCGCTAAGATAGAGAAGATATGATCTGAATCTCCTGGAGTTGCACCCATCTTTCTTGATAGGATATTGACTAAATATATAGGCTCCAGTTATTAAAGATCTAACAACTTGTTTTCTTGATTTCTTGTGTCTGATCAGTCTGATCTCTTATAATCAGTTCATGATCACGATACGATTTTATTTAAAAACATTCTGTGTCATTCCATGCCAGATCTTCTGTGTTTCTCAGAGTAGAATCCTATGCATTTATAATTTTTCTAAAGAAAATGGTTTATGTGATGCATCGAATAAGAATACGAGATATAAATTCGTATTGCCGATGTTTGCTAAGCTTGACATCTACAAAGCTTTGAGTTCAAATGTGTATATTAATTGATAGTATATACTTCGAAGAGTACTTTTACCTCTTGAATATCTCGAAATTTTGCTTTTATATAAAGAAATAAGATATTAACATAATTTTTATTTTCTTGTTTCATTTTTTGTATCGTCCGTGCACATACTATGTTCAAGCTATACATGCTCTCATGCTAAAATAGAACATATTTTTAAACATTACAACTGAAACTTTTAGCGTGTCACTCTTTGTTTTCTAGATAAGCATTCTAATTCTTTTTTATATCGCTCTAGTCTCTAAACACTTCCTTAAATGGCTACTTTTAATGGCCTTTTTATTAGCAAATTCTGTTTCTGCGCTTTTAGAACACATAATCACAAGTAAAGAGAGAGCAGAAAAATTAAAGTTGCATAATTTCTTAACATAGAAACACTTCATTTCACTCTTAACACTTCATTTTGAAAGAAAGGCACATCAACGTAAAATTTAAAATTAGCAAACTAGTAACTTATTTTAGCGTAGAGTTTGAATATAACTCCACCGGTTTCCAGAGCCATCAGATACGGGTCTCTGTTTTTCAGGAAAAAGGATGTGGATGAAAAAACATTCAGGCAAATGGAATGAGCGATGACTGTATTTTTCGCGATAGTCCATATTTTCCTCCTTCCTACGTTCATGTTCTCTTTTCTTTGTCCATTACTTTCGATATAAATGTGATCGTCGTTCCTTCCATCTTGCAGGATTTTTTTATTATATTTATTTATTTGTCGCCCAGACGGTATAGTGGTTAGGGAAGCCTTACTGCGATACCAAAGGGCCCGGGTTCTAATCCTGGAAAAGGCATGGATGTAAAATTGTCTGTCCCTTCATAGGAGATAACGGTGACCGCCTATTGGGTGCCTCCATAATAAAATGGCCACCACTTCTGGCCTTAGTAGTAACGCCCAATGCTGTTATGGGCAAGTGCCTGCCATTCGTAAAAAAAAAAAGTTTTTTTTTTGTTTCCGCAGAACAGGAAACAGGGTCTAATCCCGCTGTAAATCCACAGAATCTCTTTCAAAGTTCTACGTCAAAATAAAGTTGCTATTTTGTCTAACTTTCAACAGATATCTCTTTTTAAAGCCATTTACTTCCTTCTTGTAATACTTAGTAGGAGGCAAAAATGGAATTTACAAATTTATTTTTTCCTAATTTAGTCTTATTATACAGGATTTTCGAAAAAATATGATTAAACAGCATTTTTTTCAAAATATTTATTCTAGATGCACAATTTTTTTAAAAATAAGGTGGAAAAATATATTGTTTTCCACACAGTTTTAACTGTGTCGAAAATGGCGGTAAAAGTGAATGAATATAAAAATTTAATGTTTTTATAGTTCCTTTAGAATAATTCGAATTAATGTTCTCTACTGTTTCATAAGTCAAATACAAAATGTTCGCTATCTTTATATACAAGATTCACAAACATTACTGTAGTTGATACTTTCCTGGCACCTGACGGTTAATTTAATTTTGACGTTCCTTCCTAACTTCGTTAAATTTGTGAAGTCTCAATAGGTAAATAAGCTTTGAAAGATTAAGTACGTGAAAGAGTTTATTCCCAAATGGCTGTTGGAAATCTTAAAATAAAGCTATGGAATGTGTTCAGCATATCAAAGCATAATGAGCATTTTAGTTACTGAAATACTTCAGCAGTTGGCATAATATGAGAATGAGATTTTGCATTAAGATTTTTATACCCATAACGTTAAATTCTTTGTTTTATGTCAAGCAGTTCTGCAGTTGGAAGTACATGCATATAAGACCAATTTTTTAAAAAAACAAATCATGTAGCCATTTGTTTCGAACATCCAGCTTAAACATTGCAGAAATAGCAAGGGAAGTACATAGTTTTAAAATCAAACACTTCAATAATGTCAGATGTTATAGTATCAACAAGTTCAGAACTCCTTTTAAAGCAATAATGGATAAATTTCAACGATAAGGGAATTTTGCACTAATGATTATTGCCAGTTGTAGAAATTTGACGTTTCTGGAAATTTAAAATTATGGAAAATTAAGTGAAGCCTGTCAATAAAAACTATCAAATACGGTTCTTTTGTTTGAACACAAACAAATTAACTAAATAGATCTGAAAAAAATTGTTAAAGATTTATCTTCAGTAAAATCAAAAATGAAATATTTATATAAATAAATCTGACTAGAAACCAAAAATTTGATGGTTATCTTTAAATTCAATCTAATATTTATTTGCATGTCTCTTATTTTGACTAAATTGTAATAATATACAAGTTAATTTTTCGTAAAGATAAATGTCAATCTATGCATTATAACTTTTACAACTGCTATTAAGAAGAACTTCTTTTGGCAATTACAATATTATGATTTAAAATAGGATTTACCTTAATATTTATCAAACAGTAAAGCAGTAATTATCCGTATTTAATTTCGTTTCGCATACAGAGGCGTGCTATGTTTGACATGAAGAAATATGTAGATATGATACTGATTGTTACATACAGACGTTTCTAAGTTTGATTGAGAATTTAATATATATAATTCAACATACAGCAAGTAAACAGCCTAATAATTATAGCTCTAAATATGGTATTCTCAGGTTTGCAAATAATATTGGCCGCATATCTTTCAGTTGACGAATAACTTATACTAATTTAGACGTCAAACAACAAAAATCAGCGTTATATTTTCAAATTTTCACAGGACTACTTTCGATGGTTTTATCGAACCATCATCCTCAGCTGCAAAAGCGCAAATGAACGAGACAAGATATAGTGATTAGATGAGAAAAGATAAGAAAGCACGGACAAGAGTCAAGATACTGGCGCCATCTGTTGATGAAACCAGAATTAAAGCATAATTTAATTACGAATAATTTAATTATATAAATTATGTTTTAGTTCTGGTTTCATGGCGCCAGTAGCTTGACTATTGTACGTTCTTTCTTGTCTTTTGTCATCTAATCACTATATGCTATATCGTTCATTTGCGCTTTTGCATCTGAGGATGATGGTTCAGTAAAACCATCTAAACTATTTTTGTGAAAATTTGAAAATCTATCGCTGATTTTTGTTGTTTGACTTCTAGATAAGTACTTGTTTGGCGTATAATTGTATCATAATGAATAATTGATAGATGAATAATCAAAAAAATTGATATAATGAATAATCAAAAAAACTTTCAAGGGAATTTTTTAGTGTTGCAAGGAATGTTATCATCATTGAAACATCATGCGCCCTTTTTTATTTGACAACTAACGATAACATCAAACTAAACATATTTTTTTAATGTTTAAGACTTTTAGAATGTATCCATTGGAATTTAATTATTCCAGTGTGTTTTGTTAAAACTGTGCAAAACCTGTTAATTAAACAGGCCTATTGAATATTAAATAGCTTTATATTTCTTTTTCTAAATAAACTATATAATAAAATTTTATTTATATAGGTCAGCACGTATTTCATATGAGAAAAGCTAATGCTGTAAAAGAAATGAATGATTTTCTATGATAAGAGTCATTCTGTATTTCAGTATTCTTGTCATTTTTATTCAATTGCTTTACACCATTGATTTAATTATAGTCGAAACTCTTTTAACAGCTGTTTCATATCAACGAATAATTCCTGAATCCTTGTACTACTGAAATATGAGACAAATGGATTGTCTCATATTTCAGTGTCTCTCATTTAGCAAATACTTCCTGATAACTACAAAATCTTGTCCCGTGATGGCCACTAACGATAGGTTCTATTATGTATGATTCAGTATTTTAGTAATGTGTATTTTAGTTTATAACGGAAATAAACATAAAAAAGTCTAATGATGCTTAATGAAAAGTTCTAATAGCAGTGCAATAACAGCAAATATGCATCCTATACTCCAAAAGAGGAAAGCATCTTTTGTGTGCGCCAAACCTAAGCTTTCTACTTCAGAGTTTCCACTTGTTAGGCATTCGGTATATCCAACATATTCTTTTTCCATACGCCGTTGCAACCAGTTGGATTCAATTGTACGTATGAACCTAAGGAAGAAAAAGTTTCGGTACTTTTTTAATAGGATATGATAATATTCAGTTTATTTAATAAAAGGCATATATTTTTAAATAAGCATATATTTTTTAAATCATTTAGTAAAAGTAGTTTTAAATTTGTAAAATTGAAGTAGTTAAAACAGAATTCAAGCTATATTGGGCAAAACTGCTGCTTGCTGAAAGCATCGCGAAGGAAAATATTTCTAATGAAATATCGCGAGGAGAAAATACCGTCATACAAAATATTGCGAAGAAAGTAAACAGGAGGATCTCGCGACTAAAACTTCACAACACGAAACACTGAGACAAAAATAAAGCGATGACAAAAACTTTACAGTTTCCAAAACATCGTCACACAAAACATTGTGATAAAAAGTAAGTAAGTAAATATCAAATGAGAATAACATGGCAAGCACAAAACAGCTTTACTTTTAAAATTAAACAAGACATTTGTTTGAGTTTCTCTATTGATTTCAAGGACGGCAGGCAAGAGTCTGTCTTTCTCGCAATCAAAATTTAAAATTGCTTTTGTTCCTGAAGAAAAGGCATCTTTTATTTACCACGTTTTCAGGTGATTTTAGTTACAAAAGCAATCAAGAGAGTAAACTCAAATATATATATATATATATATATATATATATATATTTTGTGTGTGTGTGTGTGTACAATTTACCAAAATATCTTAATTAAAAATTGAAAGAAATAGAAAAACATTAAACACTAAATACAATTAAAACAATTAAAAAACAATTTTTACAATTAAAATTACAGTTTCTAAGCAAAAGCAAGCAATTGGGTCAGCAGGCAAGGCAGATTTTTCGGTGAACAAAACTAAAAGTTTCGTTTGGTCCCACTCGGAAAAAAGACACTGAAGGAGCAGAAAGAATTAATTCACTACTCTGCTAAATTTCAAGTGCAAACAAATATGCCTGCTATGTTAAAAAATTACGCTTACCGCATTTAAACAACTTTTAAATCATTGATAATTCTACAACTACCCCATGCATATTAACTAAAGGCATAAAAACGTTAATCGAAAGATAAGAAATACATATTCAATGATTTTAAAGCAAAAAAATGCGCAATTTACCAACATATAAGATTAAAGAAACTGAGCTGACTGAGCTGAGTAACAGAGTGGGTATATATATATATATTTGGATTTGGAGTGATTAACGACAGCATTTGATGAACTATAAAAACACAATTTATTTGCCAGTATTACTCAGGACAGATCCCAAAAACATGTTTACAGTCGTCGAAAAACTATAACAGGCACGCTGAAACAATCAGCAACACAGCCTTCAGGCTATCAGGCTATAATGGTGAAGACAGCTTCACGGCAAAGCACTAGAGTATAGCTTCCGATTCGGTTCGGTCGTTCTCGGGACTGAAAGTACTCTCGAGACTCTCCACGTTACAACTCGCGATGCACTAGACGATACGCTCGATAGCCTCAACGATGCACACTCATGATGTATCAACACGCGACACACTCGACGACCAACTCGACACTAGACTGCAATACATTCGATAGACTCGCGATCGACTGACGATAGCCTATGAGATTCTGACTGACTACTACTTCGCGTGCAGGCAGAGTTTATATAGCTTTTGGGCTGCCTTCGAGAACATTTTGTTCCAAACCGGTAAGAATTCGTTTTAGAAGGTTCTCCATCCGCCTATGGTATATCGCCAATTTTGTCACCAAATGGGCAAATTTTTGCCAAATATGACAACCTTGCTTTCTTTTGCCATTCTCTGGTAACCCTAAACCCGCTTTGCGGGGAAGCTATCCTACCGCAGCTGGACCTTATGTATCAATATATATATATATATATATATATATACTTTTGGTGCGGCCGATTGCAACCAAAATGGGAGATGCACAATTATATCTTGTAGCAGTACTATATACAAACTTTTAGAGTGCTGAGGCTACTCATTTTTGAGTTACGCGAGATGCATTCATAGTACATACCTATGTAAAAAGCTATGAAAAAAATCTCTTCTGAATCTATTTTAAATTATTTTGATAATTTGTTTGGGGAAAAAGAGTCCTTTAGTCTGTCCTTACGTACAGATTTCACTCAAAAACATCGTTAAATAGCACTCGATAGCAGCCAAAATGGATATTTTCGTTGAAATATAAATCCCGGAATCTTTCGTGATTACAATACTTCCTTTACTTCGTACAAGGAAGTAAAAACGACGAAGGCACAAAATGGGAGAAAAAATATGTGGCGGGGACGAACTCAGCAGATCGTTGTTGAAGTTTATAAATAATATTTTGGAAAATCTGAGTAGTTGAAAAGAATCTGAGAGAGATCACTGGAGCAGTCTAAAAGTTTTAGTTTCTAATGTTACAGATTCGTTTCATAAGTTATAGATTCGTTACAGAATCGAGGGCTTATTATTGTGAGTATAAATTGCATAAAAAAATATATTCATTTTTAGTGACGCATAAATGTATGTTAAATTAAATCACAAGTAATTTGATTTCATAATTTATTATTACTTATTCCTTACAATAATTCTTTATGTATATTTATTACAATAATTCTTATAATAATTCTTAATTCAATAATTCTTATAATAATTTTAATTCAATAATTCTTTATGTATACTTATTCTTTATGAATATTTATTACAATATTCTTTCTCTTTGCATGTAAACTTTGGCTCTTAAGTCTAATTTTGTATTGCATAATAAAAACGTAAATAACATGGGCAACTCACAATCGATTAATCTTCTGAATCCATTTCTTAGAGAAGTTACTATTAAAGGCTAGAGATTTCCAAAGAGTCCAGGCTGGATGTTTACCTAAGCGATAATTGCAGCGAAGTCCATCTTTGTACCTCTTAGCCAAAAAACTTTTTAAACCCATTTCATCGGATATAAGAGCGAATGACCCTTTTAGAACACGTTCCATCCCAACAGTGCTCATGTCGTCGTACTTCATGATACTATCAGGATTCTGAATAACCTTCTTGAACAGCGACTGATAAATCTCTGCTTTTCCATCCTAGAAAAACAAATGTAAATTTTAGGGCATAGAGGAAATAAAATGCTGGAAGTTTGATTGTGTAAGAATATAATCCAAAAGGTTCCCGACTATTTAATTTAGTTGCTAGAACACGTGGTCTAATTTATTGAAAGAAAATGCTTCGATCAGAAAATGCAAACAGTTTATACCGTTCCTTTATTTTAATCTAACCAATTATTTTATGAGTTACATCCTTACTCCCACTTCGCTTTTCGATTCCTTACCAGAATGCAAATGAGATCGAGTATTTGAACTCGAGTTATTGGATTGTAGGACAGAACGTGTTTTTGCCTCTCGAGGCCACGTTACTAGGCTTAGCGATCCCAGATACGATTTCATTGTTCGATTTTGCGTTTTAGTTGCCAGTATTTAAATTCTTATGTCAATGAAACGTTTGAGCCTATTTCGCATTAAATCATTTGTATAGTCCTTGGCTGCTAGACTTAGTTTTAAAGTTGAACTTACTTTTACTTTAAGTTACATAACCACGAAAAGTTATTGGCTGATTCGTAAGCACGAATGCATTTATGTTACAATTCTAATTTAATAAAAAAGGTTTGTTTTAAAAAAGGTTATGCGTGTGTGTGTGTGTGTAGAGAGAGAGAGAGAGAGTGTGTTTGACTCTTTCTGGCGCGATAAACTGGTAGCAAATTCCTAACGGACGTTACGTTACGAGAATTATCGTTATGTCTGGAGATAATAACAAAATCTTGAAACATTTTAACAACCTTTTTATCAAAATTAGAATTTAACAAAAGAGCATGTCTCATGCTTGACAAACTCGGCCAGCTCTTGTGGAGAGATAACTTTAACATTCAATTTAAAATCTAAATAAGCTAATTGTCAAAGACTACATAATGCAGTTTAACGCGAAATTGGCTCACAAATCTAACCGATATAAATATTCAAATATTTGGCAGCAATAATACAAAGCCGAGTAATTCGCGCTATCAGAGCTGGGGGAAACGTAACTTGCATGCACACCGGCAGAAACATGAACTGTCTTACAACTCAATAAACTCGGCTGAAATACTCAATCTGATTTACATTCTGGTAGGGAAATGGAAAGTTAAGTGACAGCAAATATCAAATAATGAACTAACTGATTAGTTCACATAATGGAAAGTTATAAGCAAATATAGGGTTCAGAGTCTCTTTTGTGTATACATTACGGAAAATTATGACTTAAACAGAGAATGAGACAATAAGATAAAGAAGATTTACAAAATGCCTGTAAAGAAATATATGATAAGGGTAAAAAAGACTGTCTATAAACAACTGAATCTCCTGTCAAACATTGCTCATTAAAATTAAAAGCCAGTCTGAAAAATATGCTCAATGATTAAAGTTTTCAATCAGTGTTAAACATTGTAATTCTTCGTCTTAAATTTCTGCAACTGAATGCAGAATTTTATGTCTGATCTCATATTAGCTAATGAAATATGCATATTAGGGAACTGACAATGCATTGCGTAATGAATGTATGTAGAATTCGGGCGTATATTTTTTCTAAAATTTTATGCGGTTTTTGACAGTGATAATTATTCATTAGCTATGATTCATAATATCATTTTTAAATGAAGAGAAATAGTGGCAGACAATTAGCGGAAGGAGCGACAGACATAAATGGAGATCACCTGAGATTTGAATACCCTGAAAATGTCACACCAAGAACTTTAAAATACCTTTTGCACTGTTAGTATGTAAAACCTATCTGTATTCTTCCACATAAACTAAATTAGATCCTACAATGAACCTGGCGAATTCTCGCACAGGCGTTAATTAAATACCAGCACAGAAGAAGGGTGCAAAATAACCCTTTATTAATTCAAACTAATTTAACAAAAACGCACGGACTTCGAGCGTTACAAAAACACCGTTCACTTGCAGTGGTAACTAAGCGTAGACTATAATACAATTCTGAAAATAAATAGAGCGCACTTCAATTTACGCCTAAGAGGTAGACTCACAGAAAATCTAACCGGCGTGATACTAAACTGATAAGGCCAAGAGGCTTACTAGCGTGACCGCGAAATAACAACGAAACGTGCGCTTGGCTAGCGAAACACGCTCTGAATAAACTGACATAAACACACGTATAAATAGCACTTCACTTAACTTTAAATTTACATCCTAGCGAGAGAATGTGAGGGAAGTTCAGAAGTTTACAACAGGAAAATTTAAAATAAATTTGTTATGCAAAATAAAATATAAAATCAGTATATAGACTGATGAAGGACAACCAAGTATTTGAAATGAGTTTTCTGTCACTCACGATTCAAAGAAATCGTTAAGCGAATTCAAGGTAATTGATGTTAGACCTTCAGGTTTCAACAGGAATTTGAATCAGCTATTCTATCGTTTTACGAAAACTTCGCTAGGTTGAACGGTATGTGGGAATATTAATGTTCCCCCACACTGTGTCTTCTCAAAGAGCTCCTTTAAATGGTGTTGTTTTCATGATAAGAAAAACTAAGAGAAACGGGAAATTCTACTGTTCATCGACGAGTTAGGATATAGCATGAACTATGATTCTATATATGTCTTGATCTGGATGAAAAGCAACTTGCCGTCCATTGTTTGTTAAAGATTCCGTTTCACAGGGCTTCGTTTCAAGGTTTGGGAAGGAATTTACTAAAGCATGACCACACCGAGCTGCATATCTTTGATGGAAATATTACAATTGCTCATAGATATGTGGTCGAAGTCCTGAAACTCTATATAAGAATGGTTGCTTAGGTGTGTTGTCGACCATATTGTTTGCTATTTGTTGAGATATTCATAATCGCATTCTTACTGGTTAAAAAGAAGTATAGCTTTCTGTCAGGTCTGATGTATTTCGAAACTTAATCCCATTCTATTTGTTTATATTTATATTATTTTTGATTGTTTTATGTGTCTTGTTTATGATTTGTTAAAAACATGATCTGTTGTAAAGTTATATCACTATCATAGAGCATCTTACTATCATAGAGTTCTTGATGTATTGGCTGAAATAAAATTTACTATTCTCGTATAAAAAAACTTATTATATAAATAATAAAATTACTTAAAAGAAAAATTATAACCTTCTGCTTTATTCATTATATTCCTCATATTTACTGTATATCATATTTACTCTAGCTCTCCATATATATAGGTATTGTATTTACTCTTAGAAAAGAATGAAATACAAAAAAGGTAAGTAATTTTTTTAAAGAAAATATTCAAAATCTGCCAAAATTTAAATTTTAAATTTGCTGTTTCGAGCATTTTTTATTTTAAAATTAATATCATAGTTTTTCAGACGCATTTTTAGTAAAGCAGTTGGCAAATTGGATCGATCAATTTTTTTTTTTTTAAGGGAACCATTATAGGAATCTTTAATTTTATTCTTTTTTGAAGACACGCACAAACAAATAACGAAAATCATCTGCAACAGAACCATAAAAGCAACATTTAACTTTCTCTCCCTCTCATCTTTAGAATACTTTGAATTTGATTACTCTCTAAAACTCTTGCATGCTTTCCAGCATGAAATACAAGAATACACAAATGAAACAAACCGCAATTAATAGCATGTAGATGAAATTCCCTCACACTTGATAAAAGATACACCACTAAATTAAGGAATTTCACGCATTATTATCGCCATACATCGAAGAGGGATCATTGTGTTGATGTCCTTTTCCATGTAGATAGGAGAAAAATAATAAAGCATTTATGAATTCTATCTCTTTTTACACTTAGAATTCAGCTTATGGCACCTATATTAAATCTGAACCTTCATGTATCATAAAAATCACCATACAACTATGCGTGAGTCCTACCAGGAGTCAAAACGGTACCTTGTCACGAGTTTTCGTAAAGGGAGTGGAGTGTAATTCATTCAAAACAAAAACACTGAATATAAGGAAATTAGCTTTAATGGGCCTTTACTTGAGGCCTTAATTTAAAAATATTGCAAGGTAACAGTCCACAAGTCTTGACATTAAATGCTGAGTATTAGCTCGACGAATTCCTTGTTCGGTTTACTCTTATAAGGATTTGCTTAGTTTCACAAACCAGTTATTTTATGCTTTGCAATCTTTCTCGCTGATCATTTTCCTGTCAGAATGCAGATGTCTAGATCGCGTGTATTAAAATGAAATAAAAAGGAGATAGTATTTAAAGAAAGAGGGTAAAATCAAATCTAGATCCGCCTGCTAAAGGCCATGTTTGCTAATTAATTCTCTTGAGAGCAGTATTCAGTAACGATGCGTTATTCTCGCCATTAGGCTTGTCACGCTGATTTTAGGTCAGAGCCAACGTTTTGTGTCTGTGTAGACCACCTTCGGCTATTTTAAGTTAATTTAATCAAAATTTAAAATTCGTTACTTTTGATTTAAGCTATAAATGCTGGCAGTTCTGTAAACAGGAGCAGCGCCTTCTATTAAAATTTTATTTGAGTTAAATCAAAGGGTCTTTTTACACCCTGTATACGTTTCTGTTATAATTTAAAAGGACATAATGATAAGCCAATTTAGGTCTTAAAGTTTTCGTCTATGTTAAGACCAAAGAAGACGAAATTCTACAATCTAATAAGTAAACCAATTTCTTAGTGAACAATAACGTGTTTAGGCCAGCTTATATCCTCTGGAAATCTTCAATACAGGAAATTTTTAGCAGCGGCCATTTGCCAAACCAGTTTCCGAGATCTCCTCCATTTCCTCGTTCACACTCTATTTTTCGATTAAGCCTGTTTTATATACAGACTTTTGCCGTTTAAATCTACCTAATTTTTTGGAAACAATTCGTTGTGGGACTGAAGTAAGAAAGGACAATAAAGATGCAAAAAATCGAGATAACGTGTTAGTTAAACTAAAACAAAATTTTTCCAAGCTGGAACTGGCAGCATACAAGTAAAAGGTACAAGGCTCGATTTATTCGTCCTCTCTTGAAATTCCTATAAAATTAAATTTGCTTTCAGAAGTATGCGTAAGTACTAAATTCATATCTCAGTTTTAGATGGAACATTCTATGTTTTCTAAAAGCAAATTGTAACTTTCACCGTTATCTGAGAAATGCCCAAACTTTAAAAAAAAAAAATGAGTATGCTGTCATTATCCATTACTGAAAATTGTTTAGCAGTCAAAAGAGTAAAGGGGGCAAATACAATAACTTCTATAAAACAATAAAGCTCAATTAATCATTCCACTGTTTGAAAAATTATTGGAAAAGCCGTTGAACTCAGAACTTGTAATATCGAAAAGGTAACAGCTACCTTTTGTTGAAAAAATGTATTAAGTACATCATCTAATGTTTTAAGTACACCGTAATTTGCGTTATAATGATTATGGAACTAAAGTATATTTTTAACCATTCAGCGCAATGTGGCATGTTATGCAAAGAAACTTGGATTTCTTTGGTAAAACAGATCTCTGCCATATCGCATTCACCTCACAGGCCATATGTCTCATTCTTTAACTCCGCTGTTTTGAAGATTATTCTAATATACAATCTAAAGAATCGACAATTTCAATGATTTCAAGCTATCCAAAAGGAAAGAACGGGCAGACACCAAAACAGGCATACTTCCAATACTTAAAGAAATAACAGAAGCTTTGGAGCTCCAATAATCAAGTACTGTCTACGAGAAGAACAGATCTCGCCACAGTGTCTGGTGGGTGGCGGTCGCTATAGCAACAAGGCTAGTCTATTTCAAATAGGGGGAACCAAGAGTTGCTTTATTGTTATTTCGTTTTTGGCGACTGTTGGCTGAGGGGGAAAAAGACTTAAGACACCCCTACGGAAAATGGGTTAAGTCTCGTTTTTACAACAACAGACAACTGCAGACTAACTGGCGAGAGCTTTTTTTATGAGAGACAGACAGTATGCGTTCCAATAGATATTGTTTTGAAAGAGGCTAGTAATAAAATTTATACTGCAGACCTTAGATGTATTTTCCGTGAACTTTTGGAAAAGAAAAACCTATGTAAATTTAAACATAAAACATGCGAAATGACTCTTATAGTAAAATGTCAATAAGTAAATCCTAATTTTTCCTTTATATAAATAACGAATAAATACCGTTTACTATCATCTCTAAATTCTATGAAATATATTTCATAGTTCTTATATTAAGCATAAGTTTTTAAAATTATAAATATCATAACGGTTAATAAAAGGGCAAAAATGACGTCCTAATTTTTCCTTCATTTAAATTGCGAATAAATATTGCTTATTATTATCTCTAAATTCTATCAAATATCTTCCATGATTTTTTTATTAAGCATAAGTTATTAAAATTATAAACATCATAACGCTTATTAACGCTTAATAAAATGGTTATAAAACGTCCTAATTTTCTTTGATTTAAATAACGAATAATTATTGCTTATTGTTATCATAAATTCTATCAAATGCCTGTCATGGTTTTTATATTATGCGTTAAGTCCTTAAAATTGTAAACACTACAACGCTCAATAAAATGGCAAATAATATTTCCTTTGTTTAAATAATAAATATAAATGTTGCAATTTGCTTATTATTATCCTTAAACTATGAAGTAACTCTCGTCGCTTTTATATTATTCTGAAGTTCTGAAAATTATGAATACCATAACACTTAAAAAATGCCTTTATCACCTGGATTTTTATGCACCATCTCTACAATAGTATTTACTTGGTCTTTGTTCTGACAACTATTAGCAGTAGGCATTTACTCCTGTTACAGAAATACTTTAAATGACGCAAATATTCCTGTTTAGGCATTTTTTAAATTTAAAGAAGGTCAATTTTCTAAAAGATATCCCTAAATCTAAATTTTTATACTTTTCTTCGGTCAGTATACATATATTTAGAGCAATTGTACTCGTTATAAAAACAAAACAAAAACGATTTGACACTCCTGTCATACAAATTGACCAACACATTTGATATTAATGCCGGAGATCATTGTCAGGGGCTGTACACAAACTAAAGAGTGAAATGTATACATTCCTAGGTAAGTAAATTTAAAATATCCGTATAGAAAAGGATTTCTGATCTTAAGTTATTAAGTGACAAGCATTTCTATGCAGATTACTATGAAAGATACTGATCAATATAAATTTTTTAAGTCACGGAATTATTCGCGGAATGTTCAAAATTCGAGTTTTAGGAAATATTGGAATACTTCGGTAATGGTAGATAGCCAATTCGTAATATTATTAGTATTAAATAAAAAATGAAACACTTTTATATTAAAATGCATTTTTATATGATAACCAAATTGGTTTTTAACTTCACGAAAAAAAAAATAATAAGCTATTTTTATATTTTATAAAATTACGAATTACTTTGTGGAAATGTTTTCGATGTACCAAATGTAGGTAAATTATAAATTATATGAGATTTAAGAGGTAAAAATCAGCCTCGAATTATTCTTATTTAATTTATTAATCAACTCGTCAATGTAAATTGGCGTCAAAAGTCATAAATTTTTAAATTATATACCTCGGTAAATGCCACTTTTTGGTGTTTTTTTACTTCCTTGTACAAAGTAAAGGAAGTATTGTAATCACGAAAACTTCCGGGTACCATATTTGAACGAAAATATCCATTTTGACAGCTATCGAATGCAATTTAACGATGTTTTTGCGTGACATCTGTACGTAAGAACAGAATAAAGGACTCTTTTTTCCCAAACGAATTATAAAACTGATTTAAAATGGATTCAAAAAAGTTTTTTTCGTGGCCCCGTTTGTACGTACTATTTATGTACTTAAGTATATATCTCACATAACTCAAAAGCGAACAGCATCAGAACTTTGAAATTTTTTACATAGGATTGCCATAACATGAAGTTGTGTACCACTTTTTTTTGGTTGCAATCGGCCGCACCAAACGTATATATATATATACCAACTCTGTTACTCTGCTCAGTTTCTTTATTCTTATATGTTGGTGAATTGTGGAATGTTTACTTCCACAATTCGAACGAACCAAAAAAAAATTCGAACCAAAAAAAAAAAAAACGATTGAATTATATTGTTCTTATCTTCCGGTTAAAGTTGCCATGCCTTTAGGTAATCTGCACGCCCTATTTGTAGAATTATCAACAACTTAAAAGTTGCTTGGTACGGCTAAGGCTGATTTTATTTTACCATAGCAGCCATATTTGTCTACATTTGAAAAACATAGCAGAATAGTGATTTAAGTCAGTTTCTTCACCTGAGTCAGTTTCTTCATTCAGTGTCTTTTTGCCGAGTGGGACCAAAAGGAAACTTTTAGTTTTGTGCATTGAAAAATCTGCCTTCTTGCCTGCTGGCCGAACTGTTTGTTTTTGCTCACAAACTGTAATTTTCATTGTAATTTTTTTTAAATTGTTTTAACTGTATTTGGTGTTTTACATTTTTCTACATCTTTCCATTTTTAATGAAAATATTTTGATTTTGTATGCATTTTTGCCTTGCGACGAAGTGAGAACTGAATTAGTTGAATGAGAAATATATCTCTTATGAAATTCGAGGAAATAAGTTTAAATGAAATGCAGGAAAAAATGTGCATAATTTAAAATTCCGTTCAAGAAAGTCATATGGTGTACACATCAGCTTTTTTTTTTTTTTTTTTTTTTTTTTTTTTTAAACGAGTATAAAATTTTCCTAACCTGTAAGGATCCTAAGTTTTACTAACGTTTATTTTATTTTAAAACTGTACTATCACTTCTTATTTTCTACTTCCGGCTAGAATTAAATGCTTTAACTTGTTAATGCAAATTGTCTTGCTAACGCCCAAGTACTTAAGTTGTGGCTTTTTGCCAAGCGAGAGAGAGAAGGAGTTTTAGGAAGCAAGCCGCTTGCCACTGTAGTTTTACGAGTTTTCACTCGGTTGCTGGCTGCCTTTAAGGCCAGAGGTTTAGCCCTCTTGATATTTGCAAACGTATTGTAGTTTAAGCAGCTCGGCGTACTACATACGTACCTTTTTTAAATAAAGGCCAGTCTTAGTGCTAGGCATTTGTATACTAATTCAAAGTTAGCTTTTAGTTAGAGTTTTAGTTAGTAGATTTTATATTCTTACAGACACCACAAGTGGTTGGTCTCTGTATTCCGAAGTTCGGAAGTGCCTGTAAAAGATTGGAAATAAAGGGTTTCGTATACCCTTCCTGCTTGTGTTGTCTACTTCAAACCTTCTTGAACATAGATTGAGTAAGCTCCCTGTTCCTATTCAGGATCATTCATGTTTCCAAAGCAAATCAAGAGAAACACAAGTCCTGGCAGACCATAATGTAAGAGGTGGAGAAATAGAGAAAGGTATAGAAAGTTAGATTTCGTGATTTTTTACAAAATGTTATTCTTTAAATTTAGAAATGCCAAAAGATGAATATTTTCATCATTTAAAATATTTTTGTAACGGAAATTATATGTCTACGATAAACCATAGCAAAAATAAAGGACGAGTAAGAGATTTTGTGAGCCCGGCGTATCTATCTACTTCCATCGTGTTATTTATTTCTTAAAGTGGTCATCAAATAAGTAATATGAGAGGGGAAATGTAAGATGACGAAATATATCTTACTTTAAAGACCCCAAATATTGATGAGTCCCGTTCTACAATGGGTTGAATATCCTTTGCAGCTACGAGATCATTAAGTGAATCAATTTGACGAACTTCACGCAGAAAGAGATTTGTCAGAACCATTGCGCTGAAAATATAAGCAAGTATGGCAGCTCCTATCATCCAGATTCCTCCAAGAATGGCATAATAACTTCCTTTAGGCCTAAGTGTTCTTCCTGGGATTAAAAGTAAAGGAATAATTTAATTTAATTATATAAAATAAAACATAATTGTAATAATAAAGGAAGTAGTTTTTAGTATAGTATAGCCCCGATAAACCACCATCGATATTGGAACGATCGGTTACTTGAACTCCTCTAAAGCTTCTTCATACACAAAGGAGTTTAGAATTGAGCCTTAACTTTGGAAACTTTCTAAAGCAGTGCTTCCTATCCTTTTTATCGCTGAGGACCGGTCAACGTTTCATAATTTTACCGTGGTCCACTGAGGGGAGGGGACGTTGATTGTTTATATTTTAGATAGTTTTGATTTAATGATTTAAATTTAATTTTATTTAAATATGCCTTCAAAATAAAATACAGTTACACGAAAAAATGAATAGAAAGTGATTTAACATTTTAACTCACTAGAACGCTAATCAGTGAGAACCCTGAGTTTGTTTCTTTGCAACGAGACTGTCCTATCTGGAGATAATAAGAGATAATAACATCCGAAGTGTGTTATGTCCAATTTATTCCGTTGTTTCGTTTCAGTTGCTGTCGATGCAGAAATCCTCGCCTCACACAGATAGGTTGGCGGAAGTGCCAATAGGGATTTAAATGCTGTGGTGGCAATCTGAGGGTATTCCGCTATGACTTTAATCCAGAATACCTCAGAGTTGCTATTTCGAATGTAGTTTTAAGGCCTCCGCCATTTGCAATCTCCAGCAATTGATCTTCTTCTCGCACGGACATGCTAGGTTCGCCTGATTTGTTGACAAATGGGTTGAGGATCCATTCCTTGCCAGTTCGTGGGTCTTTTGCGGTTGGGAAATAGCTCTCGAACTCTTTTAAAAGAAAAGACATGTGGTCGTGCCCTAACTAGGAAGAATGAATATTCAGGCTCAGTCTCTCCTACAATCCCGCTAATGTCTGAAACATGTCCAGAATGTTTCTGTTCACGCGCCGTTCCTACAACTCCAGTTTGGCTACTTTGTCTGCCAACTAGCTATGCAGCTTCTTTGTCTGCGAGCTTGAAAACTGTTGTCATTTTCCCCTAAAAAGGCACAGATTGAATTCGTTGAGCAGGCTGAAAATGTCATACAGGTAAGCCAGTTTTTCGACTTATATCTTGTCACTGAAATGTGCTGCCAGCGAATCCTAAAACATTTGTTTTTGAAGTGATTTTTCGATTTGTTGGATATGCTGAGGTCATACTGATTCACCTTTTCTTCATCTGTTTGATATGTTTGATTTTCATTTCTTTGATTTACAATTATATATATCGATATACAGCTGGATAATTATCTTCTTTCAATTATTTTGTGCTAAATTACAGTAAATGAGGTGAACGAAAATTCAAATAGTGCTGTGCGTTTTAAAATTCTTCATTAAGTGTTTTATGAATATAGTAAAGCTAATTAGTGCAGCTAGAAATATAATAATACAGAAACTGCTAATCATTATTATCATTTCGAAATTTGAGCACGTGATAATTTTTTTCTTACAAGGGATTTTAAAAATTTAGCACTATTTAATGAAAATGATTAAAATTTTACGGTATCAAAAGATTTACTTTTTCATAATTACTAATAGTAAGTAACAAATTTTAAGATTTTTAGATTTAGGGAATATTATTAAATATTAGTATATCTTTGAATTATTGTTAAAAATTTTCAAATTACTTTAAGAATGAGATTATTGTTTAAAAATTTGAATTTCAAGAATTTAATAATTATTTTAAAAATGAGTTAAATGTTGAAAATATAAATAAATAAGATAATCTGAAAAAACTCGTTCAGGATAAAAGTGTGTTTTGAATATTAGACCAACAAATGACTTATATTCAAATCAGAAATTCGCAAATACAATGGATACTTTTGTATTTGGAAAACTGCGAGGTCTTCATAATTTGTGTTAGATAAGAAATGCCTTAATAATAATAATAACCAAAATACCATTAGTAATATTACATAAGATGTTGCCGCCCAACCGGTATAGTGGTTAGGTATAATGACTGTCATGCCGAAGGGCAGGGGTTGGAATTCTGGAGAAGGCATGGATGTTTGTAAATGTATAATGTCAATGCGGCATGGGGACACTCTAAATATGCGGTGAGCCGAACGTCCTCTCGAGAGGTTGGTGATAGGGAAAAGATGGGTGGAAGACCATCAGACTCGTCCGCCCGGTGTTCCTCCCATCGGAATTGGGGACGGAAATGAGTTAAATGGCACTGTCACCTTTAATAAGATGCTCAAGGTTGTTGCCAACGGCAGGTGTAATCAGTTCTATATCTCCCGTTCTACTGGGCCGATTGACGAACTTCAACTTGCGTTTTTCATGTCTCGAACGCGCGATTTAAGATATGTATTAGATTTATATATAGCATGGTTAAAATATAGGTATTTTGACACAAAATTGGGCTTTATCTGAAATGATATGCCAACTTGTTTCCGTATTTCGATTCTACAATTAACCTTACTTGATTCCTTCTTCTAGAATTCAAAATTTAGATTCATTCCAAATAATATTCGCCCTTTCTATGATCTATTCTTAAAATTTATATTTTTAATTAATATTTATAAATGTTTCGAAAAAAACATTTGAATTATAACCTATAAATGTTTTATTATCATCTTAAAGTAAATGTATTTCTAAGCATACCTGCAAAAAATTGGGCGCACAAAAACTGCTTATTAAATCTCATTCTTAATGGTATATACCTATCTCAATTACGACTGCTATTTTTCTAAGTAATGCTATCTATACTTTTGTAAGCACGTGTTACTCGCGCGTACCTCAATCTATTGGCGCGGTTTGAAATTTAGCATATTTGTTGTAAGCAATAATAACGCCAAATATAGTTTAAGCACTTTGTTAAAATTATTTGAAGATATGAATGATGACTTTTTTTCCGTTTGTGTACAACGAAATAAGGGAAAGGAAAATAGGTTGCTATAAATTAAAAAGTTAACTGTCAGATTTTAATTTCTGTCACAGTGTGCACATAAAAACATAAACCATTTTGGGGAAATATTTGCTTTAATTATTGTACTTTGTCCCAGCTTCTGAACAACAATTTTTAGCCTATAAATCTTTCCCAAACGGCAGACTGCTACTCAATATTTGTCTGATTTGCTTCTGAGTGGCCCAGAATTATATTTACCAGAGATTCTACCAAATGATATTTCGACACCACATTTTGTTTACTCGATTAATACAAATGTTAAGTCTTAAACTGAAAAAGTTGAAATACTTTTGTGTGATTTTATTGGCAGCGCAGAAACAAATTGACAAACTAATTTGAATTAGGATACTCAGGTTGGAGTTTTGATCATTCCACCAAATATTAAATTAAATTCATTGATTGATTCATGAAATGTCATTAATTTTATGCACATAAAGGTAACATGTCTTTATGTGCAATGACTTCAAGATACAGTACTAAGGAAATCTGTGAGATTGTAATACTGAAATAATGAACGAACCAACCTTTTTGAAGTAGAAATGTTGAAGCGTTCCACATGTTTTTGAAAAACGCATACTTGAAAGAAGTTGAATTATCATAAAGTTTGTCAGCAATGGTTGTCGCAAGACTCATAGCAATGAGAGAAAAAAATATGGAAATCCAGATCTAGAAAAATAGGGAGCAATTGTGAGAAAAAATTAACAAAAAATATACTAATATTGTTTTTTTAAATAGAAGTGAGATGAAATTAGGTGCATATATGAACTAGATTTGTTTAGCATTATTAAAAATATACGGTAAGAAACTTAGTTCATATAAATCCACATCATCTCCTCTATCAAAGTCACTAATTTGCAAAACTGTTGTTTTTGAGAGAACCTCATTTATATACTTGATGCTTGCTTGAATTTTTATAAAGCTCTAGTTGTGACTTCAGTTCTATGATTCTTATGCATATGTTAGCAATTAATTAGTTCCTTTATTCAAAACATTTCCGTCAAACATTACCGTTCAAACATTTATTGCTAGATACTTGCTTTATTCAGAAACATTACCGTCAACATTACTGCTCAAAAATTACAGTTCAAATTATTACCGTTCTAAAAAAAACTGTTGTTGCCAATCGGGAAAATACATTTTAAATAAAATTAATACGTTGCGTTTACATTCGGGCATCCTGACTTAGTTACGACCTCGGAACATTAAGAACTTACATTTAAAAAAATTAAATCTGTAATATTAAATATTAAATCATATAGATTCACCGTCGTTTTCTATTCTTTTTCCGTGTCCTAGTTTTAGTAATATATGGTGTGTTGTTATCGTTATCCCCAGTAACACTAATATCATCACCATCATCATCATCATCGTCTTCTTCTGATTCAGCTTGGACACTACCATGACTTTAATTGGCTGACATGAGCTGTCGTACTAAAAAAATGTCCTTTCACCTTTTCTTCTAATTGAGTCACTCTATAGGTATCACTTGGTAAAACTTCTGTAACTACCAAAGGTCCTCGATACTTTTGTTGTGTTTTGGTTGATTCTGCAGTGATTTAGGTACTCTTCTCATAACTACTGTTTCTCCTCGTTCGAATGCTAAAGATTGCTTTTATTCTTGTCATAATTGGCTTTCATTTTCATCTTCATATCTTCAATTCTCTTTTTTAACTCTTCCTTTTTAGATGCTCTCTTTACCAGTAATTGCTTCTTAGGAGATATGTCTATTCCCTCATTTATCTTAGATTGCTTTACAGATGGATTTACATCTTCCGAGGTTTATTTCCTTTTGCAATTCTTTTCTCCGGTTGTTTTTTTGTTTTGTTTCTCAACAAATTTATTTCCCTTTAATTTGTTCCTTCCCAGCAAAATTATCTATTACAGTTTCTTTTTGTAGACTTTTTTCTTTCCCTGTATTAAACTCTTTCTCAAGTGTTGTAATTTTACAATTCTTACTATATTTCTTAAGCTTTTGATTATAATGCTTTTCTTGAATAGACTTGCATTTTTTAATATCATTGATATCATCACTTCTGGTTTCTTCTTTAGGATATTTATTTTCCTCACTTGTATTCCGTTTAACGATTTTCTTTGAAGTCCCTTTCCTTTTCAGTGATTTTTTACCTTTGGAATTAGTGACTTTTGCAGTATTTGTATTTTCAAACTTTTCATCATAGTCCAGAGTTGCTGCCTTTTCATCGTTGTAGTTAGTGACAGGTATCACTGTTTCTCCCTGTATTACTTCCAATAATGAGCCCAACTCATATTCCGATCCACTTATTAAAACATAACCGTTATTTATTTCATCAGTTTTAACTTTCACGAAATTAACCGTATTACTTTCGATTTGAGTTTCTTGTGAAGCCTTCAGTTTAATTCGCGGAGTGTTGCTATCATTTTGCAACTGTGAAAATGGGCAGTCCTTAGCATAGCGTATGTGCAAGCTATTACCTATTTTGGCGTATGCAATATGTGGTAAATCAATCCATGTTCGACCAACTAATAAGTCGCATGGTTGCGTTTCATCTCCTACAATTAGAACTGTAATATTCTTTTCTTCCACATTATCAATCTCTAAACTAACAGTTACTTTTCCCAATGTTCTAGCGGCTGGTTTACTCTGGTTCCCAAAGCCAAACAATTCCTCCACATCAGGTTTTATAATAAGAATCAGTCTCTTAGCCGCAGACTGTTTCTATAAACACGAACTTAGAACCCGTATCTATGATTGTCAGTAATTTCCTCTCCATTACTTGATGCGAGCATACTTTAAATATACAGCTGGCGAAACACCTGAATTTTGGTCCACGGATAAATTATTTTGAACATTTGTCAAGTCTGCATTCTTCCACGTATACTTTTTAAAAGTATGACCCTTTTCATTACATTTCATGCAAATAATTTCTTTTTTAGGTTGAGGACAATCCGTCACTATATGTCCATAATCAATTACAATTGAAGCATTTCGGCGCTTACCCTTTTCATTTCGGATACCAGAATTATATTCACTTTTCCTTATTGTCTAGTTTTATAAAATTTATCTCTCAAAATTGTATTTATTATCAAAACTGTTTTGAAAACCCACTTTGAAATTACCATCTGTCTGAACATGAATCGTTAACATTTCTGTGGTCTTGAATACTGAATTATAGGATCCCTCATAAAATTTAGAACCAAATTTAGGGCTTAGCAATTATGCCTAAAGGTTTTATTTTCTATTTGAAGTACTTTTATCCCTGCCCAAATATTTTCATATTCATCTAGTTTTTCAGCCAACTCTTCAGGATTAATGAATTTAGACCAATCATCGATGAAATGGTCTCGGATAGGAGCGAGGACCCTTTTCTTTAATTGATCCGTAATAATAAGTTGTTTTAAAAAGTCAAAATCTGTTACATTTAATCCAACAAGCTACTCTTCAAAATAATTTTTTAATTTAAACGTGAAGTCCTTCCACGTATTACGCAACGTTTTAATATGATCAACGAACTTTTGCCGAAACTGTTCAGGGCTTAACTTAAATTTTCTCAGTAGTAGTTGTTTAACGTGCTTATAGTCGTTAGCTTTTTCTTCTGATTCATGCGCAATTAATTGAGTTATTTTATAAGGCAATAGACCCAACAGCTGAGAAACAATTTTTGTTCTTCTAACCCAATACGTCGTGCCTGTCTCTCAAATAAAACTAAATAAAAACTTATATCACCTTCATTCAAATCATACTTATGCATTAATTTACTCATATCACAAATATTACTTCTACTAACATTAGAAGGAACAGAACCATTTACATTACTACTTCTGGTTTCCGCTTCTATTTTTAATTTTTCAAGTTCAAAAGTTCTTTGCTTATCTCTTTCTATAACTTCTATTTCAAATGCTCTTTGCTTATCTTTTTCTTTTTCTAAAATTTCTAACTTTTCCCTGTCTAAATTCATTTATAATTCTATCTAGCATTTGTTTAGTAAAGTCTTCGTTATAATTCTTACTATTCAAAATCATATCTCTTAAGCCTACAATTTTAATATCAGATAGGACATCTACATCAAGTTCCAAAGCAAGTTCTTTTAAGTCACATTTCTTGCCTCTTGCCAAATAAGCCATCTTAGACTTCAATTTTCAAATAATAATACAATAATTATACTTAAGTTCTTTCCGTTTAATACTTCGTTTAATATAAATTCACATACCTTTCTACTTTCAGTTTTGGCGAGCTTCCGTATTCAGTTTAGGCTTAACGTATATTAAGGCAATACGTTGTTAAATCCTAGATAATAATTCTAGTTAATCCCACTTCTGAAAATGTTAGCAATTAATTAATTCCTTTATTCAAAACATTACTGTTCAAACATTAATTGTTAGATACTTGCTTTATTCAGAAACATTACCGTCAACATTACTGCTCAAAAAATTACAGTTCAAATTATTACCGTTCTAAAAAAAACTGTTGTTGCTAATCGGGAAAATACATTTTAAATAATATTAATACGTTTCGTTTACGCATGTATATCATAGCCGCATACTTCATTTTCTTTTAAGGTAATATAGACTTTGAAAACATCATAAAAGTATGAAAACAGCAAAAAAAAATGTAGATTTTTGACTTAATCTGATTTGTTAATTAAATATAATATATTTGCTACATTTGTGAATTAATATGGAACAAATATACTATTAGCGATGAGCTAACAATACAAATTTTTTACACAATCAGTTTAATTTTTTTCTAACCTAAAATTTGTTCATTTTCAATTCGGAGTAGTGTATAGCACAGTCATTTTTTATCTGGGACATAAAAGGATTTAAAATACTTTCTTATCCTTTACTTAGCATTCTCAGCTAATATAAATATTGCTTTCTTACCTACTTGAACCTCATAATTATATTATATGGATTTTTAATCTTTTAAAATGTTAATTCCTGGATCCGTGAAGAAAGTCACCGACTACTTAACCTCTTAGTAAAGCAACTCCGAAACAGAGGAAGGTTTAAAATAAGGCCCTTTTTATTAGTTCGCCAGCCTAATAATTATAAATTATACAATTTACGTAATAAATGAAATCAAACTCCACAGCTTGCGGTAAGGGCATAAATAATAGTTACATTTGAAGTATTAAATTTATAACGCAAAGTGCACCTAGAAGGCCCTTAAACTTTTGAGAGTAATTACAATTAGCAAGTCTAAAACCATTCGAAGTAATTCATACGCTAGCAGAAATATACTGGATGCAGCTCAGTGTGATTGCGGTTAGTGCTACCGTTCTAATATCGCTATCGGATTGTCGAAGTAGTGCATGTATGTATACGAAAATATAGAAAATACTTCGAATACTTTAAAAAGCAATTCAGTTCATATGATCAAAATTTTATTGAATACATTTTAAGTTGATGTAAACTTGCCAAATGAGGTCAAAATAAATTATAAAAATTAGCAAGTGACAGAGAAAGTTCTCCAAGTCAAGGATTAAGTCACCATATAGCTTGGTTTTGGTTTTAATCAACAACTTAACATCAGTTTTAAAGCAAATTTAATTAGGTATAAATTTTAAATAACTCGATCGATTTTGAGGCCGGTCAGACACAGGTCCGTCTCCTTTAGAAAAAGAAAGAGAAAAAGAAGAAGATTCTGCAAAATTTTCTCTCCCTTGTCCTTGATCTTGGGGAGAGGAGAACCCATGAAAACATTTACTAAGTTTTTTTTTTAGTCCAAAGGGATTTGAATCCCGAAGGACTATTAGTTTCGTTTTGGCATTTTGCGTCGGACGGATAAATGTCGGTTCACTTTTCAAACTGTTGCCATAAAATGTTAGAGTCCTGCATTATATTTGAAGAAATTAAATAATGAAAATCTGCGTAAATGTATGTATATTTCTCGCATTGTCATAAAATAACGGTACATAGAGTCATCGAATTTTGAATAACGTAATCCTCCAACGAATATGAGCATGTGGAAGACCAAATTTGAAATTTGTTTTTATGATCGATTTCCTATTTTTAGTTTCCAAAGGAGACTTGAGTCCCGAAGGACTATGCTCGTTTTGGCATTTTGCGTCGGACGATAAATGTCGGTTCACTTTTCAAACTGTTGCCACAAAATGTTAGAGTCCTGCATTATATTTGAAGAAATTAAATGAAAAATCTGCATAAATGTATGTATATTTCTCGTATTGTCATAAAACAACGGTACATAGAGTCATCGAATTTTGAATAACGTAATCCGCCAACGAATATGAGCATGTGGAAGACCAAATTTGAAATTTGAAATTTGTTTTATGATCGATTTCCTATTTTTTAAAACTTTGACGAATTTTTGATTAACAAACTCAAGGATTTCAAAGCGAGCAATGGCAACGTTGTGCAGAAAAAACATTTTTATCTCCAGCGCGTGAGTCTCTGTATCGGAAATTCTAAAGATATGCTCGTTTTAAAACTATTTTGCGATATTGCTGTTGCACTGGATCTTATGGTTTAAGTGCGAGGAACATGATATTTAATAAAGAAAGGTAACACACAAAATGTTAAAAAACGCCCCTTTGGACGTAATTTAAAATCTAAAACATTTCAGTTTTTTTTTTTTTTTTTTGGTATAATTTTCAATTTTACAAATATTGTCTTCAATATTAAGATTAGGGGTTCCGCATTGGTCAAATAATTTCCGGAAACGTTAAGAAAACTTTATAAATATAATTTTGTATTAATGATGCTGGGAGCATGTTTCAGAAAAACTTTTATAAATAATTATCTTTTTCTAATAAAAATTCTGGAAAAGTACCTGTTTATCGGTTTCTGATTGTCTTTATATTAAATTAGCTAAATTTCATTGCTATTTCATTGCTATAAATTTCTCGTCGTTTAATGTTGTTAAGTTAATGTTATCGAAACTGTGGCCAAATTTAATCACATTAAGCGGCGTATACTGTAGTACCGAGGCGGTCAACGATAACTGCCAAACGCTCTCTCTCTCTCGAACTCAGGAATTCTATACTTAATTACATTGATTAATTTGCAGCCTCTTGGGAGTCGATTAAAGCAGCATGATGACTTCGATTATAAATTGACAAACTATCTATATTAAAAGTCTGAATTACCAGTTTACTTTGTTTCAAATTCTGTATCTTTGCAGAACAAACGAAGCAATAATTACAATGGCAAGGATCAAGGGCAAAGATAAGTAAATATGACAAAGAACAATGACAATTAACTTTAAATTTATTTCGATAATTTGCTTTGAATTTAACAGTATAAGTTGTATTTATAGTTTTGACTTAAATTTACAGATTTGAATTAGAATAATGATTTTTAAAAAAGCAGTTTAACTCTGACTTTATTTATGGCATACTGACTATTTTATAAATCTCAGGACTATATATTCTAAGCCTAATTATAGTTAATATATTCGTCATTTGGAGAATATTCTTTACGGTAGCATCACAGGTCAGGCCCTAATGGGACTCTTTCAATAAATGGCAAGAATAGAGAACACTATCACCTGATGCAGGCCAGTATACCGACCAAGAATTCAAGGTATCAAAGTTAATACATTGTTGAATATCGGTCTACAAATTATACCCATCGTTCAGAGCAAAAAAGGTGTAACATGTCAAGGAAAATGTAGCAAAAAAACTGACATAAAATTATAAACTTCTTGCAAATGCTCAATAAAGTTGTCCACAGGGATGCCTTCATCCGTTTGGTTCATATAAATACCTTAGGTCGGATGTCATCGCGATGAAGAGTAGAGCTGAGATGAATAGTTATTAGGCTGATAACTTCGCCGACAAGATAACATAATTAATCTGTGAGCGTAGTCGTCAGGTTGAACATAAACTTAGCTCCATTTACAGAAATTATAATTCAAAAATTGCATATTTGCCGGGCTTATTGTGAACAGCTATTCTACAAGCAGATAGCTAGGTATTTAATTGCAGCGAAGCTGCTATTGTTCTGTGGTTTTAAAAATATACCTTCGTTGAGGAATTTCTGTAGAAAAACCGGCTTGTAATAATTAAGGCAGAGGCATTAATCGATGTTTTCCATTATTTAATTTCATATTCATGGAGTATTTTACATTTTCAGAAATATCTTGATTTAACATAAGGACTCCAGAAATTATTAGCAAAATCTTATTCATATTTTATTAGGGAGATTTAGTTTCTCAGGCGCTTATTTTTTTACTTAGCTTTCTGTTAGTGTTTTGTTTAAAAATTTTAAAAAAATGTAAAATAAATTCATTATTCTCTTAATGGCATATAATTTTCAAGGGTAATAAGTGCATACGTTTTGCAATAACTTAACAATTTTAAAAGAATGAAAAAGCTTTTGCATGCTTATAAATGGAAGATTTTTAGTCTTTGCTAACAAATTTATTATACATAAGGCAATGTTCTTTTTTAAGGGGATGGTGTTAGTTTTTTAGGTTTTCGTGTTTTCAACAACAAATTTTATACATATAATCTTATTCATATTTTATCAGGGAGATTTAGTTTTTGAGGCGCTTTTTTTTTTTTACTGAGCTTTCTGTTAGTATAAAATCAGTTTATAAAATATGTGATCAAAATTTCAATTTATTTTAAATCAAAAATTTTTAAAACAAATAATTAATTATTTTAATTAAAGATTTAAAATGCTCCTTGCGCGCTATTTTTTCACTATTTTTTCTGTTAGTTAGTTATAAAGACTTGACAAAAGTTTTTGTGTATCCGTTATTGAATATGATGTATCAGAAATTCTTAAAAAGGATGTTTGTGAACTTAAACCCATTTTCGGAAAAATGTCACCTTAGGTTAAACATTATCACAAGTTTAAACTTTTTAATAACCTCATATCAAAAAATGCATGCTTTTTTTTCCAAATATCATTCATTTTTAACTAAAAAGGAGACACATGGAGCATTTTCAAGCGATACGAACTGCAAAAAATTTTGTTTTGAGAAAACCGCTTAAAGTTTTTCTTCAAACTTACTTTTAATACATGGTCATGAGAAACAGCAAATTAACTTTAAATATGAATATGTAGACACTAGATAATATTTTCGTATCATTTAACTATTTCGTATCATTTAACTATTTAATATTATTCTCATAATATTAAATATGGGAAAAGTAAACATATCGCAAATTGGTATGTGATTCGAAGTTACAGGTAGGAACAATTTATGCATTATATCCAATGAAACTTTTAAAATTAAATCGCACCATATGCTTATACTTCATTTGTTACATTTACATTATCTTTTAATGCCTGCAATATTTTTACTATTTCTGTTTTTCCAAGCAGGTAAATTCCTCCTTTTGCTTCAAGCGAGGAGATCACGCTTTTTTGCAATAAGTAGAGAAAACGAGTTTGTTTCCTCCTGTTCTAAGCGTATAGCATTCATTCACACAAACACAGTTAAATTCATTAATAGTTGTCAATGCTGACATTTCTAGTCCTTTTTTTTAGAAATAAACACTTATTTTGGGTAAATATTATATAAATTATTGCATCAATAAATAACTGTTGAAATACATTTTTTTTTACATTTTCTCCAAAATTTAAAGGGCAAAGTTTACGTTGTTTACACATTTGAAATGCTTGTAATTTCCTTAAAAATTAGAATATTTGAACTCGGTTTTTTGCATACGATGTAGTTTTGTGTATGGAATATTATAGTAAAAAACAAATCCAATATTTTGGTTGATTGTTTAGCTATTTTAAAGTCCACTGTCCCCTTAATACAAAATTTAACTGATTTTGTAAACGTGTTATTTCGTAGGTAAATTGTATGAAAAAAGTATTAGAGTTCTCTGACTTGATTGCTTTTGTAACTAAAATCACGTGAAAAAGTGAAAAATAATTTTTATTGTGAAGAAGTTAGACCTTTGCCTGCCGTTTTTGAAATCGATACAGTTTTACTCAAATAACGGTCTTGCTTAATTTTAAAAGTAAAGCTGTTTTGTACTTGCAGTGTTATTCTCATTCGATGTTTTTCAGTAGTCTTACTTTTTATGACAATGTTTTGTGTGACGATAGTTTATAAAGCTTTGTCACCGCTTTATTTTTATTTTAATATTTTGTGTTCTGAGGTTTTAGTGGCGAGATTTCCTGTTTACTTTATTTTCCATCATAATGTTTTGTATGATACGTTCTCTTCGCGCTATTTCCTTAGAAATATTTTCCTCGGTGATGTTTTCGGCGAGCACCAATTTTGTCCAGTACAGCTTGAATTTTGTTTTAACTACTTCAATTTAAAATATTTTTACTAAATGAGTTTAAAAATGTATGTCTTATAAATTAAAATTCAGAAATTTAACTATTGATTTAAAAACATTTACTTCGCCTCTGATGATGACATGTGGTCATAGTAACTTTTTATTTTGCTTATAAATTGCACTTTTGTATACTGTTTTCCAATTTTTAGTTTACTGGAGTTGTTTTGGAGCCTTTATTGCCACATCTAAGCTGTTCGTTACGTAGTAATTTTTGTTTTCCTCTTCAGGCCTTTAAATAAAGAAGTTGTTTGCTAAGAAAGAAGTAACACAATTTAGCATGCCTTTTCCCGTTTGTACCAATACTATCAGTCAGTCACATAATCATATCGTTCTAAAAATATAAAACAATAATAATCTCTTTTCTTATACTTACATCAAGGTTGAATATCTTGGCCATACTGAATAATTCTAATTCCCACTGAAAAGATGGTACTAAAATTTGTACATTGTCTACATACATGGGCATCGACATCGGAAACGAAGACCAACGGCTGTAAGACAGTGAAAATGGACCAAGTGCCAAATCAACTTCCTATAATGACAAGTGAAAGGCTTGAAACTACAATACAAAATACATCATTTATACTTATCAGATAAAATTTAATTTTAAGAAATCTTTTACCCATCACAAAATTTCTCTCTTATCTCTATACGTTAACTATTATTTATGTATTATCTTATTAGCAAACGCAAAGAGAAAAAAATGCGTATAGCATCGACACACTATGCTCAGCTAATCAATGTTTACATTTACATGGATTTATATTTACGGTGTCAAATGATGAAGATATTCGAAACTGCTGTAGATATCTTTCCCTGCAAAAATTGTTACTGTCTGGAGCTGCAAAAGAGGTTCTAAATTTTTGGTTATTTTTTCACTCTTCTGGTATGTTTATCCCCAAAGATTACACGAATTGATATCAAACAAAAATACTAAGCATTTGAAAACAGAGAAAAATATCAAAATTTTTAATTTAACTATTCCTTATTTTGACGCTGAAGATGGTAACGATGTGTAAAGTAACTTAAAATCGAATCCCAAGTTTTAAGTCTTTTATATTGGAAAACAGGTAAAGTGTTACTTTTATGCATCTAAAATTGCGAATTTTATGATTCCAGTAATGCAATCAATGGGATATTTTAAGTCTTAATATTATGATTTGCATTCTGCGAACTGTTTTCCTGTTAGTTTTAAGATAAGAAGAATAAACTTGTAGAGACATTAGGTTATTTCGAAGCAGGAGACATTCCCTCGCCAGGACTTGAATCTCGGACTTGTCGAATACGCGCCGAGCGTGCTGGCCATTATACCACGAAGACATGTTAAGAAGGCGGGAGAAATACCTCATAAGCTTTAAGACATGAGTTGCCTACTTAAGTATTTCCTTTAGTGACATCAGCATCTCAGTTAATATGATTCAGAAAGGTGAAGAGAAAAAAATGGCGAAGTAAAAAGGCGGCAATGAGAAAAAAATTATTTGTAATATAAGCGCACTCAGCTGATCAATGTTTATGTTTGCAAGTAATGTTTTCCGAAACGAGAGCAAATAGAAACGATCTGAGAGCGATCATTCAGACGTCAAAAATTTGTAGTTCTCTCCAAGCGCTTCACAAATTAACGTCAAGAATGAGCAGTCAGAAATGTTTGGGTTCCTTCCTTGCGCTTGCCGAGTTAATATCAGTATTAACATATCAAAACAATCATTCGAGACAAATCAGTGAAGTGAAAACGAAGATTCAACACTAAACGGAACACAGCTGTGTAGGTTGGCCATGTTAATTTGTAGCGTATATGAACAAGAGTAGGTTATACCCTGCTTTCAAATATCCCGAAAGTATGAGGTCTCGTTCACTACTCTTTATTCTTTACTTTTTCATTCTCCCATTCTCATCCGCATACATTTCATACACTAGCGAGATTCACGCGTTCGATTATTCGATTCGTTGGAAAACTGGGACCTTACTAGTTGTTATACATTATTTTAACAATTATTGTAACTCTAGAGTTCCTGCACTTTTCCTTTGCTTATCAAATAGCAAAAATTATATTTCGAAATTAGAGAATAAAAGATAATCCTAAAGATGCATGTAATTTTCCGTTGTTTTGTGTAACCAGTTTAAATGATAATCTCCGATATTCTTTTAATTTAAATTTAAAAGATTTAAACAGAGGATTTAATAGAGGATGTAAGAATTTAAAATAATTGCATAAAAATGAATTCAAAATTTATTGGTTACCAAAATTGAGTGTAACGCAGTGTAATAAAATTCGAATCCCCGTGAGGGCATTGCACATTTTCTTTTTTGATTCCTGGTGCAACAAACCTAATGACTCAATAATGTATGCATATAATACATGTTGCCTTTGCAAAATGGAGAACTTAAAATACCGTCTAGCGGAAAGTTTAGTAATATGGCAAGAAGGGTAGGAGATCCTTGGACTATTGACTCTCCTGAAGAGGGTCTGCATGAAAACTGAGATAGAAGTGGCCAAAGTTGGATGTTTACCTTTCAGTTACGTAAGATATTTGGCCAACGACTGCCTTCTTCTACTTGTCGACTATGATGAATTCATAGATCTGATCCGGATCTTTCAAATCAAGAAGGCAAATAACAACAAACGTTAGCTTATTGCTAGCCTAAGTCCAACTCAAATTCCTCTTTCAGCATATCGGCAATCAGTTGTATTCTTTGTGAACGACTTATCTTCCATAACAGCAAAAGCAAATTTTATTTGCCTTCAATGAATTATTACTAATTAAAAAAAAAGTCAATACAATTACCAGTACTGGTTCTCCTTTAAAAAATACTTTACTCTAAATGAAACCAATTCGTGCACCAGACTGGGCCATCTAGAGGTTCTTGTTTCTCTCCAGACAGATTAGAAGGTTAGTCATCATCTATGGAAAGAAAAAGTCGCTAATCTTATCATTTGCATTTTATCTTCCGTAGCTACTTCATTTATCCTTCAAAACATAACCTATCAAAACAGAAACAGTTAATCATTACTGGCTTATGATTCTGGAATTGGTAACCATGCGGCCCAGACGGGGTAGGTAGTTAGCGACGCCTAGACCTTTGGATCTGTCCTCTGTGTGCTTTCCTTCAAAATTGGGATTCAGTTGGCCAAAGTCATACTGTCACTTACATCGTGTTCAAGGCTCATTTCAGACGTAATCGAACGGAGAGATTTTTATTGCAAGAAATGTGTAGCATTTGAAATAAAAATAATATAAATATATATATCAAAATTATAGCTGTGAAATAAATAAAAATGTTAAATGACAACGAACAAAACTATCATGAAATCTATTAAATTAAAATTCATAATCGTACGTAATTATGAGAATAAAGAATTTTTCTAAACTATTTTACATTAAATACCGTTGTATTTTAAAGCAGGTAATAAGAGCAAAATAGTTTCGGATTAGTAGCGATAATAAAAGTAAGAATTACGTTTAAAATTTGAATGCATTACTGAATTTTGAAATTATAAGTAAAATGAGTAATTTTTTTCCCATGTGAGAAAAATCTATAACATACTTATTAAATGTTGTTAATTCAAACGACTGCTGACATAAAATAAACTTATTCTTGCTTAGCTATCTCACATTCTTTTAAGGTTTGTAGGAGTTTATTTTAATGTTCCAATAGTTATTTTTATTTTGGACAGGTGTTTCTTATACTTCTGCTTTTCCCATATACTATTCCCTACCAGAATGAGTTTTCAGGACAGCGTTTTATGTAAATGAGGTAGAAAACAGTATTTAAGTTGATGTATCGGTCATTTCAATAGAAAAGCTTAATATAACCTAGTAGAGCGTGTTCTGCCGTCTGGCCACGTTGTTGCTAAAGTATAATCACTACGATTTGGCCGTATTATTACGTGCCTGCTGGTATTCGCCGGTGATCTTTAATAAGGGCCAACTCTGTTTTTTCTGTGCAGTTTGGACTGGTTTTAGTTTAGTTAGTATTAGATTAGTTTCTTATTTTCTATCTTAAATGGAGGCTTACCATAAGCACGAGAAGGGGTCATCTGTGAAATTATTTGAATTGGAATAAAGGGTGAATTTAACTCTTCTTTGGACTTGTCATTTAAGTATGAGTCAGCGATTATTCTCTACACAGTTCTTAAGTATTCTAGCTTTCAATGACTACAAATTCAACTAGAATGTTACAGGTTTAGTGATCAGAACAGTAATTTATTTTATAATTTGAAAAGAAATTTCGGAGTCTATTTTTATTAAAATACTTATATAAATTTCAAGCTTATTCCGTATAAAAAGTAATATATACACAATCATTCACAAATTCATTCAAAATAAGATAGTATTGTAGACTTTATCATACTCGTAAAAGTCTTTGTTGTTGTTTATGAAAGAAATTCCTAGTATGCAGGAACTCTTGAGTAGGATGCATTTTGATACAAATCAAGTATTTCAAATAATGTTTATACATTTCAATGATTTTCACCAGAGTGATCTGATCTTTAAGTGATGTATAATTTTATTAAAGTGGAAATTTTTAACATATTCTAAAATTGCATTATATTTAAGCTTCCAAAATAGTGTAAAATTGCGCATATTTTAAATTTAGTAGAGTATTTGTTGGAAAATAAACTTACTTTTCTCCATAACATTCCTAGCATTCCTGTCCATCCATCTGGTCTTTTTATACCCCACGTGTCTCCAGGAACTCGGTATAATGTGTATCTAAAATTAAATTACATTTAAAGCAAAAAATAATTGCTATCTTTGAAAAGATGTTTTTATAGCCGTTTTGTTAACAAACTGTGAATCTCATAATATTTACGCAATCTTTCGGTGCAAAAACAAAATGTATAAATTGGAAAAAAGAAAACTGGCAATGCTTATTTTCTTGGCCATTGACTTCCTAGAATATGATGCTATGCACGCCTAACATTATAAAGTACCTTTCATCTTTAATTCCTAGGGCACTGCATAAACCACCATGGAAATAATTGAATGACTCCGAAGCCGATATCCGAAACAAATTAATCTTTACTTAAGGAATCTCTAAAACATTTTGAAGAGGTATTCCTTTGTCCATAACTATCCTGGTCTGATCCTAGATGATTGTATTTTATACTTGTTATCACATTGATTCTGTTGGAAACGAACATATGTCACTGTAGTAGCAGCACCAACTGGATATGTAGACTGTAGGCAAGGGGATAATTTTGAATAGATTCGGTTAAAAACCATATAGTGCGGACTTGAGGTTTGTATTTCATGAATTATGCTTATCTTATTGTCATCTGTTGCGATTTATGAGTTTATAAATATTAAAATGTGTATCCTTTTATAAACATAAATTAATAGAAACATTAATTAATATCGCGAGTTTATAAACAATAATCGATGTATTATTGTATATAAATTTATGGTATTATTTCAGTATCAGATTTTTCGTGGTAAAATACTCAGACCATTATGGAAACAATTATATGCTGCGTAACTGCGTTGAACGTACTAGCAACGAATGTAGTCTGCATGTTCACTTTCATTCATATTCTGAAACTGTTATACTGACGATCACAAAGGTGTTTTATTTAAATTTTTGTGCTTAGTCTTAGTAACCGTACTTTAGGTGGGTTTTGTAATGAAAATATTATTTTATTGCATGATAATAACTGATATATTTTTCTAGTTTTCCTTACCCAAAGTAATCGGCATTACTTTTAAGTAATTTTATTATACTTTACACTATATATTTTAGTCCCATTTAAAGTGTTATTTCACCAACATCGATATACTTTTCCCTGTGCTCGCTGCGATATAAAGGTTAAAGGTATTTTATAATGTTTTGTGTATTCATATTCTAGGAAGTTAACGGCCAAGAAAAAAAGCATTCCCAGTTTTCTTTTCCAATTTATACATTTTGTTTTTACAGCGAAAGATTGAGTAATTATTATGAGATTCACAGTTTGTTAACAAATTGTCTATAAAAAATCTTTTCAAATATATCATGGAATCAATTCTGGAGCTTCAAACGCGAAATATTATTCAAGTCATGCAGTGTGTGTCCTTGTATCTCATTCACACCATTCATTCACTGTAGTAGCAGCATTCAGTATCCACGGAATCCACCATGTCTGAATTTCCTTCGGTGAAGTTTTGTTTTGCATGGAAACAGATAAAATCTCACTGAACAAGAAGATTTTGTGAAAGCTTTAAAGAAACATTCTGGTTTTCTTCAAGAATTATCGTATGGAGAAAGTTCCTTTACAATTCTGTTGAATGGTATTTTGATAGTCTTCTTTTATTTACAGCAGCATGTCGCATTTTCTCATTTCTGCTCGTCAGTGAATCGCAGCAGTCACCCACTTGTAATTTATTCAAATATTATTTTTATACTAAGTCTATGCTAAGTTTTTATGCTAAATGTACCTTGTCTAAGCTTCAAGTTCAATCCACCAAAATAAATGATCGTTGTCCTGTATGGGAACAAAACTAGAAATATTGGAGGACGCTTTTGGGAGCAGAAGCAGACACAAATCAGCACTGAGGCCAAATTGCTTTGCTCAGATTGATGCCATTGTAAAACATAAGCGTGCAAAATCTTAAGCTAACAAAGGCCTAACGTCACGACCAGTAATAACGAAATGCTTTCTTGCCGTATTGTCATTTTGGTTATTTGGGAGTCCTCCTAAGTGCATATGGAATTCTTACTCTTGAACATATTTCCTTTACTACATTTTTACATATTTTACCTACATTTCTTCCTAGTTTTGTAGACGTTTTAGTAATATTTTATTAGTTTAAATATTCCACGAAAACTACCGATTTTTCATCCTAAACATAAATAATTGTTAGCTGACTGCAGTTCTTATCACAAGCAGACATTAAGCTGAAACCATAAGTAGGGTAACTGTCCATTAGTAGCGTTGATAAAAAAATGATAAAGGTATAATTGCACATATATATTTCTAAAAGCATATTCATTTCAAAGGAACCTTTAAAATTTTCTCGATGAATAATTTTCAACGCATGTATCTTATTCTCTCTACACTGTAGAGTTTATTATTAAGGTCACGAAAGCAATGCAGGAAACCTGAAAAATCAGCTATGTCCCCCGTTAGGCGTCGAACCACGCATTTTCGGATTTCTAACCGGTCGTGCTACCAGTTACATCATAACAGCACATACGGAGGAAAAAGATATCTCCTTATGCACTTTTCATGACTAAATTTCTGTTCATGAAGAGAAAGCTTGTTAATTAACTAATATCTATTTTGATAATAGTTAGCATAGGTTGAACATTGCTTCACGTAACCTTTAATTACTTATCGGAAGCATATACTGATATATGAGTCAAATGAAATTCCTATGTTAAAGGAAACGAAAGAATATCTTTTATATCAACTTTTTAAAAATAAAGGGTATAGCAGAAAATTGAACGAATTAATAACCCTCGTCAAAAGCTTACGAAAGAAGGAAAGGAGGAACTTAGTTTTTAAATGCAGTTCTCTATAGCTCACTGACTACCGCAAATCTACTTCCCAACACACATCATTAATTCTGCTGGAAATGTCTGAGATTTTATATATTCCACCTCCCTACCCCGAAACTCGCCTGTCTTCTCGTGAGAAAAAAATTTCAAATATGAGGACAGTTTTATTAATCTCTTTCGACTTACTGAGAAAAATTCTGATTATTAAAAAGTTATTAAAAAGTCTAATTCTTGACCGGGTACAAAATAGAGTATTCGTACGATTCTTTACAGATCTACGAAGGGCAATCAAAATGTTCCCGGAATTTCGTTGCAACTCTTTATCACCACAAATAATTAATTTATCTTTTACTACTAATTTTATTTACTACCGGAATTCATAACAGGCAGTGCAGCTGAAGGTAGGATGGTATGGTGATCAGTTGGTGGATGTCGAAGTTTGAGCAAAGGGCGAACATCACATTCACGTGCAGACTGGGGAAATCTGCTCTAGAGACTTTGTTAGCCTTACAAACAGTTTACAGAGACGATTCTGCATAGGAAACGTCCGCTTACGAGTGGTTTTTCAAGATTTCGGAGTGGCCAGGAATCGCTGGAAGACGACCTTTAACGTCCAGAAACGAAGGAATGTTCGAGCAAATAAGAGAGTTAACCCGTTGAGGACCAGCGTCACGTATAGGCGACGCAATGATTCCACTCTTACCAGCCCAGCGTCCCTATTCGCGACGCAACGATTCTGCTCCTACGAGCCCAGCGTCGCGTATACGTGACATTAAAAACGGAACGATTTATTTGAATTTTTAAAAGCCAGTACATGGGGTTAAGTGGTAATTGTTTTCACATAGGTCGATTCATACGGCATTTGACCTTCATATGCTGGCATTAGTTTCTGTTTTGTGCTTCTGGTTTTGAGCGATTTATTGAAATAAACAAGCTGGAAATTACGGCTCTTTATAAGTGCGCCTGTGAATTAAAGGGGCACAGGCGTTTTTGTTTATTTCATTAGAATTTTTTTGTTTTGTTTTTCTGTTTATTTTGAAACTTAACATAAGCTTTCTTGGTTAATTAAAAAGCAACATTACAACATTATTACAGAAGGGGAAATACTATCAGCTTTCTCGACGAGTAATGCGTCTTGCTCACATTTCTCAGGAAAGAGCCAGCATTTTTGTTTTTCTCACTTGATTTTATAGGTCATTATATATAAAGCCTTAAATGGTCATTATAATTATATATAATGACGCAGGCATTATATTTTGGTATATAATGTATTTATTATATACCAAATGTATTTATTATATACCAAAATATTCATATAATGTATATTTTTACATATAATGTAATATTTACGTGATCAGTAACGGATATCTCGCCAGTGGGGGTCATTCCTTGATCACTTTCCGGTCATCGTGGAAGCTGTTTTCGATTTAGAACAACAGGAAGTTTTCTAATATAAAGGATAGGATGAAATAATATATTAGTAACTTTTTTTTTCTATCCTTTGTTTTCCCATTTTGAACAACTCGATTTAAATTTAAGATTTTTACATTCGATATATTAACTTATGGAGAATCTTAAATACTTTTCATGTATTAAATTGAAGTTTTTGTACCAAGATAAGACTGAAGTTTCTTTTCAGTCTTGTAATTTTTATATTATTTAATTTTCTATGTTTTTTTTTTACTTTTTGAAACGTTGATGTTAAACTCTTCTAAGTGTTTGGCTGTATTCTTAAGTTTTCAGATTTTAATTTTTTAAAATCGTTTATTTATCGAATTTTTACAAATTTTTCATTATCACAAATTTTTCAAATTATTACGAATTTTTCAAAATCAAACTCAATTAAAATGCAAAAAATACAAAATGCATAATACACAGAAAGAAAAACCTAGAAAAACTGTACACAAATGCATTGGAAAACGTTATTCTTTTAAAATCATGAAAACGTATGAACGAGTCAAAAAACATCACTAAAAAGGAGCTAGGGTCTTTTGACGCAAGCTTAACTTCTAAAAAATTAGCTGCTTCCGAAATGAGATAGTTTCATAAAAATCGTTATCATTTTTGTATTCAAACTGTTTAATTTATGTTTTTCTGACTGCCTAATGGTTTTAGTCTATGACTCTGCTTTTCTGTTTGTTACATTTTTTCACATCTTCCAGCTAATCCTTTAATTTCCATTTTTAACTACTGTAAACAAATTACAAGACTGAATATGAGTTTATTATCTTGCTTATCTTTTATTATAAATTTATGCACTTTCTATCACAGGATAACGGGACAGAGACTGATGTAGGTGCTTAATTTCGAGAAACAATTGCCAATATTTTTCACTCATCTTTACGTTTACATTCATTTACCAAGAAATCACCTTAGTATAATTCTTTAAATACATACAATGAAAATGTTGTGATAAGTTGAAACGAACAAAGAATTACTTCGGTTTTCATTAACACGTATAAGTTAAAACGAACAAAGAATTACTTCGATTTTTATTTCATTAAACTGTTCCACTGCGATAACGAACTAGATCGAAGTTTGAAAATCCTGATACATTTCAAACGCATTTGTATTCTCATTATGCTCAATAGATGTCGCCACCAATAAGTTCAAGCTAAAATTGCATTCAACTATTGTATAAATTAGTGTGGCAGACCACAAGTAGTACCGTTTTCAAATTTTGCAGGAGAGCACGTAATGGAAATGTTTAACTATTTCAGAAACCCGACTTCATGAGATTTCTTATAATCATTCCCTGAAGTCAAGATAATATATTGCTACTTTAATCAGCAAAAGATTCAAAGCTATTGTGGTTTCATTTAATTTTCTTTTTTTATTAAAGAACTTATTGGGTTTAAAGTATTTTTTGAATTCAATGAATGATAACTTCATATAAAATAACATTTTATGGTTTTTATTACGTAAACTAGTTTATTATTGAATTGAAAAATATGCAGGTTAAATTGCCTCCATCATTGACAGTTACAGAAACAGGAAAAATCGTCAAATCTCGCCGCAATTACGAGTGATGAGACGACAATTTCCAGTACCTTTTTCCCCTTGGTAGTTTTAAAAAGGCGATATACTGTCTAGTTAAATAACTACGCAGAAGTGTTGAAAAGCATGTCTACATAGAAATGTCTTATAGAAAATATGTCTTATTATCCAATAGAAAGACGTAGAGAGCGTTTCACATCATGCAGTTGCCGCATACGATAGGAAGGAATGTATAAACAAAATCAGCATAATATATTTTTTGAACAATTCAATATACGATGTCTCATCAAGCTTCCCATTGTGAAACTTGGATTCAGTCTAATAGCAGTATATTTTCACAGCTACTCACCTAAGTTTTAATTACAGATAGCAGATTTTATGCCGCCTGAATTTAAAAATTTTGAGGATATATCCTTGGACTGGGTCGCGAAAAAGCAATGGATGTAGCAAATACTTTTCTGATTCGAAATTTGAACAAATATTTATATATAGCTTTTAATAATAATCTCTCTTTAAAGTTGAATGGGATTTTTCCTCAGTGTTCTGCTTAAAATAACTTCTAATATTTATTGCTTTTATAGCAGAAAAATGTCGCTCAAGACCAGAAATTGAAGACTATAGTTTATTTCATTTTCCCGGCTTCAAAAATGATAACGATTTTTATGTAACTATCTCATTTCGGAAGCAGGTAATTTTTTAGAAGTTAAGCTTGCGTTTTTGACCCTAGCTCCTTTTTAGTGATGTTTTTTAAGACGTTCATACGTTTTCATAATTTTAAAAGAATAACGTTTTCAAATGCATTTGTGTACAGTTCTTTTAGATTTTTCTTTCTGTGTATTATGCATTTTGTATTTTGTGCATTTTAATTGAGTTTAATTTTAAATTTACTTAAAGGTAAGTTTAAAATCTTAGAATTTTAAATTTTTCAATTACTTATAATTTTGAATTTACTTAAAATTACTTCATTCTTTGCTTGTAACTAATAGAGGCAAACAACACCTCGGAGTAGTTCTTTGACATTATGAGACTATTAGAAATATTACTTTGCACTCCCGAACAACTAACTAACAGCATTTTGAGTCACATAATGTCAGGAAGAACGAAACGTGTGTTCGACGCTAATTAATCATCCGGGTTTAATGTTTCAAATACTAAAACCTTCAAAAGTTCTGTCTGAAGTATTAAACATAAGGGGATAAGTAGTTTTTATTTTTATTTTTATTTGTTATTCCAGTTCAAACATTTTTCAGCTTTATTTTTTTTCACTTCTAATTAACATTTTTACTGCTCTACATAAAGGCACAATTTACATTTTCACTTCCAATTAACATTTTTACTTCCCTACTAACATTATTTTACTGCTCTACACAATCTTCCCCAGATAGGATAATCTTAATTTTTCTAATATTGCTTTATATATATATCACTTTCCGAACTGCGCAAACCACCTCGTTCTATGTATGGAGATTTAGAGAGCGATTAAAATAGAAAGACATTTTTTTTCTTACGTTAGGAGAAAATGTTTCAGTGAAGCAAGACTGAAAAACATAACCGGAAACCAAATTCAAAGACTTTAAATAAAAATAATCATAGCGAGTCATTTCCTAAAAGTGATTTGTTAATCAATTGCTATAAATTTAACAGTGTACTTGTATAAATCTTACTATCAAATGTTTATCTTTTTTTTCTTAAATTTAAAAATATTTAAAAGGAATGTATAAACAAAATCAGCATAATAGCGTTTAGTTGTTATATGTATGTAATCAGCATGATGCTTAAAAAAGCGTACCGTTTAGTTGTTAGTTACATTTAACGCATTTACGCTTTCTTAAATGTGCATTGAATATATATGTGAACCATATTCTTTACTATCATACATAATTAACTGAACTAACAATCGTTGCAAATGTTCTAAGTATGTTTATTACATTTAATACGTTTCTATTTCTGACTTCATTCCTTATTCCTTTGAGTACGTTTATTTTAAATATTGTACCATAATCATGAAAAGGTCTACATGCTTCTGAAGTGTATTTACATCCAGACCATGCATTAGGTATGCAGCTTTTTATATCTTGTAAAAGCTTATTTTGAGCAGTAAGTTTCAAATACTTTTCAATATATAGTTTTATGAATCCAGTGGGTGATTTCTGGAATTCCTTTTCGTTTTGTATAATCATGCAATCAGAATTAATTCCTTAAATCTTATAACAAGAACTTTAGATATAATTTAACTAAAGAATATTGAAGACAAATACATACGTGAAATTCAAACGTCGGGACAGTAAATTGAAGGCTTCAGCTAGTGGTCCAGACATACTTACACTGCTATTTTGCCTATCAAGAAGCAGGAAAGGCGGATACTGAAATCATAATAAAACAAACCACTGATCTAAGTATATAAAAAACACTGACATAAATAATTAAAAAGAGGAATCAGATTTTTAACAGTCGCCCAGAAGGGTTTGTTAAGCTTTTCTACGCTCTCTCTGAGCTCACAGTCTACCAGCCTGCTGTTGCACTCATTCCTGCTAACCCATTTCTTTTGTATTTTTAGCTTTATTTTTAAGCATATTTTCTTTGCACTTACGCCATATACAACTGAGTAGCAAAACCACAAAAATTTTGAAAATAACTTATGTTTAGTATTCCAAATGAAGTGTTAACTGTTGGTATCAAATTTTTCTAATTATTTTTCAGTCATTTCTCAGTTTATCATACCTATGTATGGTTTTCTTAGTAAAATGGCTTGCAAAACCTTTCTTCTCTTTTTATTATTAACGTTTTTTGTGTTAAATTTATTAATTAAATATCATGCTCTTCGCATTTAAGCCATATAAAATTCAGTTGAATAGCAAAATTCCAAAATATTTAAAAACAGCCTATCTTTAGAATATACAGTCTCGCTCGTTGAAAATAACAATATGTTAATCCGGACAATATTGCTGCAGCTCGTTTTCAAATCGTTGAGTTTGTTAAACATTCATAGTTTTACTAAATATGAAACATAAAATTCTAAATTCAAAATTCGGGCTTCCAGGTGCCACATGTTCGGGTAGGGAACTACTTTATTTAAAATCTGACGGCTCTACCTGATCTGACGGTTTTTTCACAGTGCGCGAAACATACATACATCCACGCATATTCCTCATTATTTAATTTGTTTAAGAGTAATACAGGGAGATAATATTTTGTGGTAACCATTTGAAAAGTAATTCAGACGTTTAAAGTGATACGCAGCGAAATCCCTTTTCGACACTAGCAGCCCATTCGGGCTAATGCGCTTTGGGCTCAAAATATTGCGTTAAAATATATTTTAACTTATTTTATGATAGAAGGTAAATAAATTTATCTCAATAACATTTATAGCATGTATGTTTAAATTTTACTAACAAAATGTTATGTAATTTTCAGCTTTCCTGTTTGCTTCATTTCGCCAAAAGGTTCGCTCATTCCAGAATTTATGTAAATTTTAGGGGCAAGTAATTTTACTATATCATTAAAAGAATTACAAATAGTTGTGTATGAGATGTTTGCCTGGCATTACTGCCTTGTCGTGTAACGGTATGCTTTGCATTGCTTTACATTGGTGACACCCAAGCTCGGCTTGAATGACATAGCGTAGCAATAGATGGTATTAAGATGTATGTTTGAATTTCTGTCTCGATGTAGCCAAATCATGTTATCTTTGATAGCGCTGACTTTAACTGTTTGAATTTATAGAAGTTTGAAGAAAGTTTATGTTTAAGCCAGAACGAGGCGGTAATTTTCTGTTCTTGTTTTTAATCTAACCCTCACCAGCGATGAAAATGTATTCGTAGAATACAAATGACACCTTCTTAATTAATGGTAATGGAGCTAGCTCACGTTATATGAACCCAAGACAGATATTACACATTTTGTAAAGAAATAATTACACATACTGGCCCATAAATTAGAAACCCGAGATCAATATTTTATTGGACCATCTTTTGCACGGTTAACTGCTCTGATTCGTTTGGGCATCGCGTCTACATGCTTCTGGAGTGCATTTACATCCGGGGAATACCATGCATTGGCTATGCAGCTTTTTAGATCTTGTAAATTAGATGGAAGAGGAGAGTGCTGTTGGATGCGTCTTTCCACCATATTCCACACATTTTCTATGGGTTTTAAGATCTGGGCTTTGCGGTGATCAGGGAAGGTGTTCGAAGTTAAACTGATGTTCCGTGAACCAATTTTGAACACTTCTGTCACGATGTATAATTGTACTAACTTCTAAGAAGTATCCGTCGCCATCATGGTAAAAATGCAACATTACAGGGTGAACTTGATCTGCCAGCATAACTAAGTATCTTATGGCTGTTGCATAACTAAGTATAACTAAGTATCTTGGAAAACTGTGCTTGAACCGCATTTACGTCTTCTAGAGAAGGACTGTGGGTTCTGATTCCAACCTTTGAAAACCATTGATATGGCTGCTTTTCAGAACTCAGTGAGATTTTCTGTCTTCGAAATAGAGGCCCCTGCTAAACGGGCACCAACAATAATCTCTTTATCAAATGGTGAAAGATCTGTCGTTTTTCTCATTTCATTCATCGTGAAAAGCACTCTTACACCTTACTTATACTAGCATTCTAACTACGTGTAACCCATGTCATAATAAATTGCATACTTCTTCCCCAGCACACATTCAAATGAAAATCTCAAAGATTTCTAATTCATTGGCCAGTGTGTGTAGTTATCTAAAAATCAGAATACTCACACTTTCAAAACTTTTAATTCATAATTCTTGAAAACCTCTGCTGTTCCTCAAACACTAAAGAATTCGTAAAAATTGTTGTGGGGCTTATTAGAGAAGCACGTAGAAATTATTATGCAACCCTTTAGGGAATCACGCCAAAATTATTACGTACGTGCAGATATTCTAGACTTATATTTTTATTTTTATTTCGTTAAGTAGTTAGAATTTTAATTATTTTTTCTGCTTGCATGTAGAAAAGTATCTTGAGACTTATTAACATTAATTTTTTTAGACTTGTTATTTAATTTGAAATGTTCTTCTTTATTTTTAATACTTCCAGAGAATTTTATTTCTTATAAATTACAATTTAAGACAAATTCAGTTCAGTGAGTTGCAATTAAGGGCAATTCACGACTAATGAGTTGCAATTTTGTACCTTACACTCTGGTCTAGTACAATGTTTCCCAAACGTTTTCGTGTATCCCTTAACAAGACATTTTTATTAAAGTGTAGCCCTAACTTTTCCTTCAGAACATATGATCCCCTTACCCTTCCACTATCCCTGTTCAAACCTCATTATAGTCGTGATCTTTGAGCCCACTTTTCTCAACACAGTGTTTTGAAGTAAAGGCAAAATATGAAGAGTTTAAAAATTTTGAAGTTTTAAATCAGAAGAATATCGTGTTTGGTCAAATATACGTGAAAGTTGAGGTTATTCTTTCCCCATGTTCAGTGTCTGTAAATGGCAAAGAAACATTTTAATGACTTGTTGGAAGAAATTATTAGTTTTTTCTCATGTAGGAAATGTGCAGTGCTCTCGCTGGAATTCGAACTCTGGACTTCCCGATTATGAGTCGGAAGTACCATCCATTTATACAATGAAGGCACGCGGTAAGGAGGGAGAATACGCCTTATCAGTTATGAATTTTAATTTCCTTTTCAATGTGAAATAAAGTCATATAATTGCTTGCCGAACAGCACATATATTTGTTTCTTCCAAGATGCTACAAATGTGCTGAGCAATGCATGCTTGCGTTCATATTTACAAAGTTTAATATGTGTCTTCGAAATAGAATATCCTTTACGTTTTCTTAGAACCAAAAGATGCAGGGATTCGTGTATGAAATGAATCGAATGACTATCGAATGCGAGAGTTATTTGGTTCGAAAGTGGCAGCTGATTATTGTTCCCTACCCAAATGAATCTTTGAAACTGCAATTCAGAAAAAAATTGTCAAAAACTGATTCCTTCATCTTCAAAATCTTGTTTGAGACTATGTGACGCTACGGGCATATCATTTTAGTTAATTAGCCAAGAGAGTACAACTTAGGATGATAGCAGAGGATGAAATGTAATTGGAAGCAGATGTAAACGGTAATATTGTTTTACAAACTAACTTACATGCATATCTGACATCAACTCGTCTCCAACAACGCGCCAATAGCTTTTACTACTCTGGCACTACGACAAACCACCAGATGCATATTTGCAATACTAAGGAATAAATCATTATAGGCTTTTACCCATCGTGCTGCTGTTTTTACAATAATGCAGATTCTTCCTATTCCTCACGAAGACCTTAAAACACAGTTGTACTGTACGGTCACTCAATCTCCGCAGTTCTTCTTTCGAAAAGTTCGTGGCAGACCCAATGTTAGACAGTCAACTCATACGAGACTCCATTCTTCCAGTCGCGTCGCATGCGTTTAGTGTTGGTAGAAAAAGTCTGTTTTGTATGAGACAGGTGTTGAATTAATGTGACGTATAAAAGACAAACAGGTTTTCATTTCATAGCATTTATATAATAGTGTTGCCATTATTAAAACTTCAGTTTGTGTACAATTTTAATATTTTGATAGCGGCAGTATGAATCACTTGGGACAGTCACCTAATGGTATATTTTTTCACTCTTGTCAAACAAAATCCACTAATTAAGAGTATTCGTACAAAACATAACGCCATTCTGACCATTAGAAGCGCGAAATTTGATTATACTTAAGGTAATTTCAACAAATCGGTTATAAACTTTCAGAAGAGATAAGAGTACACCTAGAAGATAAAAGCTCTCATAGCAATGAATGGTCGAAAAAGCTTTCCTGGCGAGGTAGTGACAATAGAAAATACAAGAAAGGAAGAAGATTAGCAGGGTGAGGAAATACATTTATTATGCTTTTTAGTACAACAGCAATCAAGAAATAAAAAGAATATAGACAACAATTGTCCTCAAAGAAGGTGTTCAAAATTACGGCCCCGAACCCTGCGTCTCAGATCGCCGGATCTGATATTCTCTAAAATACCGTACATTCCAGCGCTTCTCCAGCAGCTCCTACGATGCATGCAACAAGTTTCTCAGCACTCTTGTTGGGCATTTCTTACACTAGTGTCTTGACGTAACCCTCAAAGGGAGTAGCCAATACAAGTGAGTTTTCGGCGATCTTGCTGGCCAGTGCACTGGACCACCTCTGCCGATCCCATGATGAGGATACGTTTTGAACGTAATTCCCAACACCATGTTTGATGAAGACCGTCTGTTTTTGTTCTTGAACAAAAACTGAATTAGGAATGGGTAGCGCATTCTGTACATATCGAAATAGCATCGTAATTAAATGTTGGAGCATCCAGCTAAATAGAACAAATTCT